CAGCGGTTGTTCGGTGCTCATATCTTAAGAAGCACATCAACAAACTGGAAAAGGTGCAAAGACAACTAAACGGCTTCCAGAACTTAAGAACATGAGCTACGAGGTGAGGTTAGAGGGATTAAATATGCCAAAACTAGAAGATAGAAAAAAGAGGAGATATGATCACTATATAAAAATAGTAATGAAATAGATAAAATTGATAGGGAAAAATTCCCGAGACCTGTAACTTCAAGAACATGATGTCATAGATTTAAACTAACTAAACAAAGCTGCCGAAGAAAAATTCACTTTCGTAAACAGGGTGATAGACAGGTGGTGGTGGAGGCAAAAACTGTCAGTAACTTCAAAGCATTATATGACAGAGCTGGGAAGACGGGACACCACGAGCGTAGCTCTCATCCTGTAACTACACTTAGGTAATTACTATACAAAACTATCACCACAACAAGGTTAAATCTTACACAAGATAATTCAACAAAGCTTCCCTTATGTTTGATAAACCCGTACATATTGTTAGATTAAGATGTCATACCTTAGGTTACTCTGTGTTTGGCTCGGCTCAGTTAGATTAGGTTGCACGGAATTAGATTAGGTTCGGTAATGTTGGGTAGGTTTTAAAACCAGTTGACGAACCGTCTTGTTTACAATGTGACTGGGAATATTGTGTACAAACCCACCCACACCACACGACAGTACAAACCAACCCACACCACACGACAGTACAAACCAACCCACACCACACGACAGTACAAACCAACCCACACCACACGACAGTACAAACCAACCCACACCACACGACAGTACAAACCAACCCACACCACACGACAGTACAAACCAACCAACACCACACGACAGTACAAACCAACCAACACCACACGACAGTACAAACCAACCAACACCACACGACAGTACAAACCAACCAACACCACACGACAGTACAAACCAACCAACACCACACGACAGTACAAACAAACCAACACCACACGACAGTACAAACAAACCAACACCACACGACAGTACAAACAAACCAACAACAACAGAACAAACAAACCAACACAACAGAAACAAACCAACACAACAACAGAACAAACAAACCAACGCAACAGTACAAAAACAAATGCAATGTTATTCAGGTAAACGTACACACACACAAGATGAGTTGCAAACAATGTTGGATTTATAGAGAGCTAATACAGTACATACAATACCTTGTGCCACTAATACACACAGCATTTTGGGCAAAACAATCAACAATACTAAATCACCACACAACCACCCCAAACAAGCACCACAACACCATCCCAAACAATCACCACAACACCATCCCAAACAATCACCACACCACCACCCCAAACAATCACCACACCACCTCCCCAAACAATCACCACAACACCATCCCAAACAATCACCACACCACCACCCCAAACAATCACCACACCACCTCCCCAAACAATCACCACAACACCATCCCAAACAATCACCACAGCACCACCCCAAACAATCACCACAACACCATCCCAAACAATCATCACAACACCATCCCAAACAATCACCACACCACCACCCCAAACAATCACCACATCACACCACCACCCCAAACAATCACCACACCACCACCCCAAACAATCACCACACCACCACCCCAAACAATCACCACACCACCACCCCAAACAATCACCACACCACCACCCCAAACAGTCACCACACCACCACCCCAAACAATCACCACAACACCACCCCAAACAGTCACCACAACACCACCCCAAACAATCACCACACCACCACCCCAAACAACCAACACAACACCACCCCAAACAATCACCACACCACCACCCCAAACAATCACCACACCACCACCCCAAACAATCACCACACCACCACCCCAAACAATCACCACACCACCACCCCAAACAACCAACACAACACCACCCCAAACAACCAACACAACACCACCCCAAACAATCACCACACCACCACCCCAAACAATCACCACACCTCCACCCCAAACAATCACCACAACACCACCCCAAACAACCAACACAACACCACCCCAAACAGTCACCACAACACCACCCCAAAGTCACCACAACACCACCCCAAAGTCACCACAACACCACCCCAAAGTCACCACAACACCACCCCAAAGTCACCACAACACCACCCCAAAGTCACCACAACACCACCCCAAAGTCACCACAACACCACCCCAAAGTCACCACAACACCACCCCAGTCACCACAACACCACCCCAGTCACCACAACACCACCCCAAAGTCACCACAACACCACCCCAAAGTCACCACAACACCACCCCAGTCACCACAACACCACCCCAGTCACCACAACACCACCCCAGTCACCACAACACCACCCCAGTCACCACAACACCACCCCAGTCACCACAACACCACCCCAGTCACCACAACACCACCCCAAAGTCACCACAACACCACCCCAAAGTCACCACAACACCACCCCAAAGTCACCACAACACCACCCCAGTCACCACAACACCACCCCAAACAGTCACCACAACACCACCCCAAAGTCACCACAACACCACCCCAGTCACCACAACACCACCCCAAAGTCACCACAACACAACCCCAAAGTCACCACAACACCACCCTAGTCACCACAACACCACCCCAAAGTCACCACAACACCACCCCAGTCACCACAACACCACCCCAGTCACCACAACACCACCCCAGTCACCACAACACCACCCCAAAGTCACCACAACACCACCCCAAAGTCACCACAACACCACCCCAGTCACCACAACACCACCCCAGTCACCACAACACCACCCCAGTCACCACAACACCACCCCAGTCACCACAACACCACCCCAAAGTCACCACAACACAACCCCAAAGTCACCACAACACCACCCCAGTCACCACAACACCACCCCAAACAGTCACCACAACACCACCCCAAACAGTCACCACAACACCATACAAAACAATCACCACAATGCACCACTAAACAATAGAAATTTAAAATGCTCAAATAATAAGAATGAAGGTCTTGTGATGGGAGATGACTCCATCTTACTTCACCGACGGCCTACAGAAGCTCTACACAGCTTTGTGGACGAAGAACATTGCTCTGCTCGCAGGCCATATTATTGATCCTGGGTGCAATAGTAAGGACAACATATGACTTTGTATCTTAGTTTTACATTACTGGAAAACAATTTAGCACAAACACAGTATAATAGAAACTATACCAACATCACACGTCTCATTGGCCTAAAAAACTCCTCGGTCATTAGACACCAAGAACCTTACGCAGCCTCCTCATTCCTTAATCAATGTTGCTACATCATTTTAATGTCTTCATTCAGGTGTAGCGATAATGAGTCTCGTACTACAGTTGCTTTCATTCTTGACTAAATTGGGGATCCCGGGTTCAGTTCCCAGGCGGCACAGAAATGGTTGGGCACGTTTGTTTTTAGCTAAAGCCTCTCTTCACCTATTAGCAAATAAATTCCAGAGAGTTATAGAAATGTCATGGGATTGCATCCTGGGAAAAATCAGTAGTTCAATCTTGGCTTAGTTCATTAACCAGGCTGTGATACATACATTAGGCTGCAAGCAGCCTCATCCAACAGCCTGGTTGACCAGTCCAGCAACCAGGAGGCCTGATCAGAGACCGGGGCATTGGGACATTGAACCACGAAATCATTGCAAAGTAACCACATGGTTGAGTGGGACCTCGATACAAGTCTAACGTATTGATATACACAGGCTTCCTGTCCCCAACAAAAATTATTACTATAAATGGACCTGCACGCCACTTCAAGCAATAAAACCTGACGAAACAAGCTATTATCAAATGTGCCTGGCCAGGCTTGGCGAGTAGAAATACTCTTGAAACCAACTACAGGTAAGGTCGCTTGCTATTAGGAGGTAGTGCTAAGCCAGTACAACTATTGCCCGACTACAAATAAGAACACTACTACTTTTGGTGGCATCCAAAAGAAACGGGAGAGGGAAGCTCTCTCATCTCTGATGCCCTGGAAGGCAACTCCAAGATGCCATGGCAGCTAATAAACATACTCCAAGCGGCCATGGCAGCTAACAAAAATATTGCAAGCAACCGTGGCAGCTAACAAAAACACTGCAAGCAGCCGTGGCAGCTAACAAAAACATTGCAAGCAGCCGTGGCAGCTAACAAAAACATTGCAAGCAGCCGTGGCAGCTAACAATCACACTCGAAGCAGCCGTGGCAGCTAACAATCACACTCGAAGCAGCCGTGGCAGCTAACAATCACACTGGAAGCAGCCGTGGCAGCTAACAATCACACTCGAAGCAGCCGTGGCAGCTAACAATCACACTCGAAGCAGCCGTGGCAGCTAACAATCACACTCGAAGCAGCCGTGGCAGCTAACAATCACACTCGAAGCAGCCGTGGCAGCTAACAATCACACTCGAAGCAGCCGTGGCAGCTAACAATCACACTCGAAGCAGCCGTGGCAGCTAACAATCACACTCGAAGCAGCCGTGGCAGCTAACAATCACACTCGAAGCAGCCGTGGCAGCTAACAATCACACTCGAAGCAGCCGTGGCAGCTAACAATCACACTCGAAGCAGCCGTGGCAGCTAACAATCACACTCGAAGCAGCCGTGGCAGCTAACAATCACACTCGAAGCAGCCGTGGCAGCTAACAATCACACGAAGCAGCCGTGGCAGCCAACAATCACACTCGAAGCAGCCGTGGCAGCTAACAATCACACACGAAGCAGCCGTGGCAGCTAACAATCACACTCGAAGCAGCCGTGGCAGCTAACAATCACACTCGAAGCAGCCGTGGCAGCTAACAATCACACTCGAAGCAGCCGTGGCAGCTAACAATCACACTCGAAGCAGCCGTGGCAGCTAACAATCACACTCGAAGCAGCCGTGGCAGCTAACAATCACACTGCAAGCAGTCGTGGCAGCGAACAAACACACTGCAAGCAGCCGTTGAAGGTAACAATCACTCACCAAGATGTCGTGGCAGCTAACACGCACACCGCAAGCAGCCGTGGCGACAAGCACATCAATACTGCCCGTGGCCTGCCTCGTGTCACCGCCTCACACACCAGGTCTGGGCCAAGTTGGGAGAAGTAATTTCAAACGGGTCCCTCGTCCCTCGCGTCACGCAAACATCAACACAGCTGGACACCAACAAGTCAAATCAAAATCAAAATCAACACCTTTAAATGACCGTCTCTTTTATCTCTCTATTACCCTAAAATATACCTTATATCTAGTATCATTTACTCTTAATGTATATATATTTGTAACAAAGTGTAATTAAGTGTATGGGCAATTAGTATTTGTAGTTTTTCAGGACATTTACCTTGAATGGTAAGTCTGCGCGGGACTTTTAAATATTTGACATAATGGCTTTGAATTGCTTATTAAATTTGTTTAAATTGAGGATCATTATTGATCCTCAGCACGTGAATTATACACGATTGACAAATCCAGTTTTGTAATCTGTCATATAAACAGCTGTCAGATATCAATTAAATATTGTTAGTCCTAATAATGAGCAACAAAATTGTCTCGTTGATCGATACAATTTTGTTGCTCATTATTAGGACTGTAACAATATTGAATTGATATCTGAGAGCTATTTATATGACAGATTACAAAACTGGATTTGTCAATCGTGTATAATTGTCGCTCATGTGTCAGAATGGTACAGTTCATCTGAGCCTTCATAAGTTGAAGATTTTAACAATGAGCTCATAGGTACTATCGAGCAGTTTATAGAATCACTTGATCCATCGTCCAGGCCACGTAACCCAAATTACACTGGTCATAGCACTTATGCTTATTATAATGATTCTAAATTGCATGCACTAAAACGCACTGCCAGAAGAATTGGACTAGCTTATAGAAGGACCCGCACTGCTGAAATGCTTAGGCGCTTTCAAACGGCTCTGGCTGAGGGCAAGAAACGTATGGTGGAGCTGAGGCTGACAGACTGGGAAACTTTTGTCAGTGGTCTCACTCCACTAAGTCGGGCATGGAAGGATATCAACAAGATCAAAGGGAAAAATGCTGCAGAGATCTCGTACCCTTATCCTCTGTACAGAGCAAATGAGCTTGTTGATGCTTGGGCCACGACTTCCAGCTTTGACAGTCTTCCTCTACCCTCACAGAACGAATTAAATAATAAATATGCTGATAAAGCAAGGCTCCTTGACTTCATGCTTCATCAAGAGGATGACTGTGACATGCTTTTTACTGAATACGAACTAGATTCTGCTCTACATAAAGGCAAAGCTACATCACCCGGGGAGGATGGAGTTACTTACGGCATACTGCATATGCTTCTGCTAGTTCCAGGGAATCCCTTGCTTCAATTGTATAATATGAGCTATGTAACTTGGGAGCTTCCAAAGTCATGGACCAACAGTCTTATTATTCCCATTCCTAAACCAAACCAGCAGAGTGCTGTTCGTCCAATCTCCCTCACTAGTTGTCTCTGTAAGTGTCTTGAGAGGATGGTTCTCAACCGTCTCCTTTACAGAATTAGTAACATGTTGTCTTCCCAGATATATGGCTTTACGCATGGAAAGAGTGTACATCACTGTATTACCGCCTTCCTCACCCTGCATACTGATAGGTCATATACCACTTTCCTAGATCTTAAGTCAGCCTTTGACATTGCTAACCCACACGTCATTCTGAGAGAACTTGCTAAAATGAATGTTGGAGGAAGGCTTCTACGGTGGATAAGAGGCTATCTACCCAACAGGAAGTCATCTGTACTGGTCCAAGGGCATAGGAGTGTAACGAGAGATTTTGGCACTCCACAGGAAGGTGGCCTCAGTCCTACTCTATTCAATGTGTTAATCAATGCACTTTTTTTTTGTTTTTTTTTTTTTGAGATATATACAAGAGTTGTTACATTCTTGTACAGCCACTAGTACGCGTAGCGTTTCGGGCAAGTCCTTAATCCTATGGTCCCTGGAATACGATCCCCTGCCGCGAAGAATCGTTTTTTCATCCAAGTACACATTTTACTGTTGCGTTAAACAGAGGCTACAGTTAAGGAATTGCGCCCAGTAAATCCTCCCCGGCCAGGATACGAACCCATGACATAGCGCTCGCGGAACGCCAGGCGAGTGTCTTACCACTACACCACAGAGACTGCTAATCTCAGTAACTCAGTAATTTTAAACTCAGTAACTAGGAGACCCAGCGAACACATCATTAGCTATGCGGATGATATACTGATCCACACCAATGGGTATACCAACACCCAAAATGTTCTGAACTCTGTATTACACACGTGTCAGGAACTAGGCTTGGTCATCTCAGTAGAGAAAACAAAGATCCTGAACTGACGCCCACTCAGACGGGGTGGGGCCGTTCGCAAAATGTAGTTGGATGATGGCTCTCTGCTCGACTATGTAACCAGATACAAATACCTTGATCTTGAAGTCTCTCAACTGTCAATCAACAGGTGTACAGATTCCTGAGCCTATTGGGCTTTATCATATCTACATTTGAAACTGTGTATGGAATCTGTCTCCACCACAACACTACTTAATACATTCCATTTGTTAACTACCCTGACACTGAAAAAATTCTTCCTAACGTCTCTGTGGCTCATCTGGGTACTAAGTTTCCACCTGTGTCCCCTTGTTCGTGTTCCACCCGCGCTAAAGAGTTTGTCTTTGTCCACCCTGTCAATTCCCCTGAGAATTTTGTAAGTGGTTATCATGTCTCCCCTTACTCTTCTGTTTTCCAGGTTGTGAGGTTCAGCTCCCTTAGCCTTTCCTCGTAACTCATTCCTCTCAGTTCCGGGACCAGTCTGGTGACATACCTCTGAATCTTCTCAAACTTCGTCTTGTGTTGTAGCCAGACTGGGTCGCCAATGTAGAGAGAGGCTCCGTGCTCTCAAGGCTGTGGCAGGCTACCATCCAAGCTATGGTGCAAATGTGAGAATTGTCAAAATGATGTATCTCTCATATATTAGGTCTCTGATTGATTATGCTGCACCCATGCTTGCTCTAGTGCTTGAGAGAATGCTTGGAGAGCTGTTAAAGATGCAAAACTAAGCCATGAGGATTATCCTCGGATGCCCCCGTACAACTAAATTACTAAACATGAGGAAGGAACTGAATATTTCATGTGTAAGTGATCGTATCACTGAAATTAATGCTTTATTTGGTATCAAGATGCTTAGGCTAACCCACCCTAACCCCTGCACTGAAGCCCTCCAAGCCTTCTTCCTTGAAGATTAGCATCCCTCCAAATGGATTACCGAAACTGTCACTGTGCTGAGAATGTATAACTTTCATCACCCCTACCTAGAGAGACAACAGCACTTTCCTGTCCCATGGGAGATCACTCCTTTCCAAATTACGGTCTCCCCTTTCCCACCCAAGAAGCTGATTAAAGAACAAGCTTTGCTTCGACAAGAAGCAAAGTACAATGCCTTAAGCCAAATTGATGTTTTAGTCAGAGAGCGCTCCCTTTCCCAGATTATTTACACTGATGGATCCTTGCATCAGTCCTATGGGGCAGCTGGAAGTGCAGTTGTTGTGACAGGGAGAGATGGTTCCTTCTCCCATGAGTGTGGAGCGCGTCTCAGTAACTGGGCCTTCACTCTTCAAACAGAATTGGTTGCCATAATCCTTGCACTCGAGCGCGTATATGAAGCCAAAGTTGACACGCTAATTGTAAGTGACTCCTTGTCATCCTTGACTGCCCTCAGCTCCCTAAGGCATAACTGTGACGTGCTTATCTCTGAAGCTAGACACAGATATAATGAAATAATCAATGATGGAGTCAGAGTCTGTCTCCTGTGGATTCCTTCCCATATTGGTCTCCGAATGCAAACTGATGAGCTAGCCAAGACTTTTGCTCGTAAAGAGGGAATTGATTACCAACTTGGACTGCCTTTGAGCAACCTGAGGGCAGCAATATCCCAGGAACATCAACTAAATTTCGGAGACTTGAGGCAAAGTGAAATTCACACCAGTTACTCCATCTATCATCATTCTATTATGCAGGAAGAACCGCACGTGTATGGGTCATCCAATAATGTTAGCAGACTTCTAGATGTTACCACTGCTAGGCTTAGGCTCGGCTACAAGTACCTCTGGGAGTTTGTAACATCTGCTGATGTAGATTTGACTAAATGTAAACTCTGTCAGCAGAACTATTCGCATACTTTGCGTCATTATATAATGGAATGTGAAAAAATTGCGGAATTTAGAGATAACACCATCAATATCTATGTTTTCATCTATGTTTTCATTTCTTGTTTTCATTCTACTCATTATGCTCAATTAGTATTAAGCTTGTCATTTAAGTTTATCATGCCCGAAACGCTTTGCGTAATAGTGGCTTTAGGCATTGTATGTACTAGCTATACCTATAAGTTAATAGTGTCCAAGAAATGTGTAAGTACTTCATTCATAATGATGTGCTGCCCGAAATCTTAGCGAAGTATCCAAAATTTGCTGCCGCCCAGTTGGGTGGGTGTGCAGCACATGACTGTAAAGCTGCCGCCCAGTTGGGTGGGTGTGGAGCACATGACTGTAAAGCTGCCGCCCAGTTGGGTGGGTGTGGAGCACATGACTGTAAAGCTGCCGCCCAGTTGGGTGGGTGTGGAGCACATGACTGTAAAGCTGCCGCCCAGTTGGGTGGGTGTGCAGCACATGACTGTAAACTGCCGCCCAGTTGGGTGGGTGTGGAGCACATGACTGTAAAGCTGCCGCCCAGTTAGGTGGGTGTGGAGCACATGACTGTAAAGCTGCCGCCCAGTTGGGTGGGTGTGGAGCACATGACTGTAAAGCTGCCGCCCAGTTGGGTGGGTGTGGAGCAAGACTAGTAACTGTGTGACTCACCATAGATGTAAAGTGCCTTGTATAGTGACTGTTGTGAGCCTCTTGTTGAATCATTTGTGACACAAGAGATTATTGATGTGTGTATTTGTGTGGGTGATTAGATATGTATGTGTATGTATATATGTATACGTATATATATATGTACATGTATGTATGTACATGTATATATATATATATATATATATATATATATATATATATATATATATATATATATATATATATATAACATTAATAATTTGTAACTAGCGTCAAAAATTTTTTATTTGCTTAGCTAAACGAACTAGAGGGTTCAG